TCCTCTCCCTGACAGCTCGCCACCCAACCGATTGTAACCTTCTTCTCCTCTTCTCTGTCGTTTTTAATGGCAGGTTTACATTTCACAGCAGAGGCATTAATTTGGGTTCTGCCAGGAGCACGTTCAAAGGCAGGTTTGAAGATCAAGGAACAGCCGAGGAGCAGCCCGTGGCGCTCACCGTGCCCGCAGATGAACGGGGCCTCGTTCAGGTGTTCGGAACAAGCACATGAAGGCGACAGGAGCAAGTCCTGCAGGTGATGGAGACGATGCTTCTCTCCGTGGTCCCCAAAAAAAGGGGCACGGAGGGTCCCAGCCGCCTTCCCTGAGCCTTCCAGACCCAGTCTGATGGCAAGCAGGGTGCAGAGGGACACAGCTTTGTCACAGCAAGGAAAGGAGCTTGAAATTTCTCCAGCATCCCCACCACCTTTTAGCACAAACCCCTCTTTCTGCACAAGTCTTTTGGCTGAACTGCAAAACGCCCCTGCCCAGCAGCACCCGCTGACACCAGTGCCATAAAGCAGTGGCCACAGGACAGTCACAGCACCTCAGTCCCGTGCCCCAAAACACACACACACACACACGAGCACGTCCTTTGGTTAATAATCGAAAGGAAAAACCTCTCCCTACTACAGCAATGAGGATGTGCAGCTAATTAGCTTTCTAGGAGTCGCAAATGAACAGGAAAAGGCGCATTAAGAAGGGGAACTTGCGCTGGGCATGTCTCGGAGAAATCAAATTGCATAAGAGGAACTTTTATCCTGATTATAAATTAGCACCGGCAATAAGCCCCAGCACGTTTCCACTGCCTCGTGAGACAATTAACCCGCTAAATTCGGTCTGGGTAAATCAGAGGGGAGAGCTGTGCTAAAAGCTGTGCCAAAAGCTGTGCTTTTAGCGTGCTGCAGCCCCTGGGTCTGGGGTCCCCAGCACCCACAGCTGGGCCCCCCACCCTCACAGCTGCTTCCTCTCCATGTATGTGCCACACGTGTACCCACTGGCCCAGGAAAGATCCAATCCTGCTGACTTTCAGCCCAAAAAATGGCCATTTTAAGTAACGTGCACCCACGCCTCAAGCACGCACAGAGATCTTTGCCTTTCCCCTCCTGCAGCTCGCCACCACGTCCACATCCCGCGGATAGCTGAGCTCCCAAGTCCTTCCCAAGAGCGCTCGCCAAAAATAGCTCCAAATTCTGTGCAAAGTGCCCGATCCCAGACCGCATTCCAAAAAAAGCTTGTGACCATCTCTCTGCTTCGCTGTGCCTGCCCAGGAGGCCAGCAGCACGCCCAGACCCCGCCGTGGCCTCCAGTGAATACACGGATGAGGGGCAGGAGCGCAGCACAGCCACGTTTCGAGAGGGTGAGCAGGATCTGGCCCTTACTGCAGCCACGCACCACCGCCACCTGCTCCACATCAGGCTCCCCAGCCCTCACTGCTGCTAAAACCATGAATGCAGCTGCAAACAAGAGCCTGGAAAGCCTCAAATCAGGTACAAAAACACCCAGGCGCTGGGCACAACTCCGCCACGTGGGTACCCTCCGTGGAGCACCTGCCAGCCCGGTGAGAAAAGCTCCAAAAAAGCCCCAAAGATGTTATTTGTGTTAAATCCAAGGAGCGGTCCCCCCGTCACGGGCAGCTTCATTGATTTGCTCCGCAGCCAGGAAAAACAAACCCTGCGTCTAGCTGACAAGGAAATAAAAAAAAATTGGATGGAGATGGGATTTCCAGGACAGATTTACAGCCCTGGCTCTCCAGACCCTTTTCTCCGATCATCCTTTGCCCTGGAGGCAGCAGCAGGCTCCCAGCTGGGTCACCCGCTAGCTGCTGCCCATCCTGCAGCACTTGCCCAGACCCCCAAAAACTGCCCAGACCCCCCCATAGGGCAGGAACCCCTCCGCAGCCTGGTCCCAGAGCTGAGCAGATGTTTCCAAGCCCGACAAAGCCTTGAGGTAGAGGAGATGAAGGCAATTAAGCCTCGTTATCCTATTTAGCACAATGATCCCAAAGCAGAGAGGATGTCAGGCAGACGGGGATGGAAGGAATAAGGTGGTTGAGGGGAATGGTTGTGCACAAGGAGTAACGTGGTTAATGGGAACGGGTGGGTACAGGGCTATGGTGAGCTGATGTGCAGCCCATGAGGGTTTCATCCCCGTGGGATTTATCTCCTGCTGGGGCCAGCTTGCTTCTCTCCCCTGTCCTTGCCATCTTCCCTGTTCCACCAGAACCAAGTCTTTGAATTCCTGCTCGCTCCAAGGAGCATTGCAAGGGCAGTGATCCAGAAAAGGCACAAATTAGGGAGTTCCTGCGAGCCACAGCTTTGGCACAGGTGCTGTGCTGTGCCCAGACCCCCGCACCCCACCCAAACCCCTCTACCCTGGTAGCATCGGAGACCCTCAGACCCAGCCCCCACACGCAGCCCCCCATCGGCCGCCCTTCTCCATCCAGAATCCTCCTGGAAATATCCAAAATTCGCTCTATCGCTAAAAATCAGCCCAGGGAGGAAATGATGCTGCGGCATCAGCAGGGCCAGGGGAGGGAAGAGGCAGACAGGTCGTTTGTTAGCGGTTCGTTAGTGGTTTAAGGTATTCCCCGAGACTACAGCAACATCCTACAGCAGACCCAGACCTGCCCCCAGCTCCCAAACCACCAAATCCAGCGCGGCTGGTAAAAGCTTGGCTGAGCAGAAAGGAGATGGCCAGCAAAAGGCAGGAGACACCCCCTTTTCAAGCTCCTGATGCCTCTTTCTTGCTCTCCAAGCACACCCAAATGCCCAATTCTCTTTTCTTTTAGCCTGGGGCCGAGGACACTCAGCATTTAGGTAGAGGACAGGAGAACAGCCCTCCGCCAGCAGCGCTGGGGATGTCTCACACTCGATAAACTCCAAAAAGGATGAGCAAACACGCTAAAGGCTTCCAGCAGGGAAGCCGCGAAAAGATAAAGATGTAATAGATTAAATCTGTCTTTTGTAAGGAATTTAATGACTACAGCTGTTCGGCGTCATTACCCACTTTGTCTTGGAGGTTTAACCCTCCCACCGGCCCCGCTCTGCCGCCGAGCAAACATTTGGGTACCAGCAGAGCCGCTCGGCTCCTGCCCCTGCTGCCGCGGGAGCAGGGGAGCGAAGCCTTGCTCCAGCCCCACGAGCAGCCCCGGGGAGATAAGGGCTCATTAAAAGCTTTTACTACCTGTTGCTATATCGCAAAACAATTATAGAGGAGTGCTCAAACGGGGAGCGAGAGCAGCCTTGTGGGAACAGATCCCTTCCTCCTGCCCGCCCGGGTGGCAGCGTGCTCTGGGGGCTCCCCGGCGTCCCCTCAGTCTCACCTGATTTTAAGGGGAGGAAGAAATAAAATGAAAAGCTGAGATTTTAATTGATTTAGAAAGGAGCGAGACTGGTTGGAAGTGAGCTGCAGTGGTTTAATCCTCAAACTCCAGGAGCTGCACCTGGGCTGGGGGCGCAGGGTCCCCCCGCTCTGACCATGAGTTACATGGGGCAGGACCCTTTGCATTCGCACAAACTCCTTCAAAGCAGCTCCTGCCCAGCTGGGGGACAGCAGCCCCAGCCCGGGGACAGCCCCCTCACCGCCTGCAGGCTTAGGAGCAGATTTAGGAAGCACTCCTAAGGCACAGGCGTTAGGCACAGGGCGTGAATCCTCTCCCCTGCCACCCCTCCTCGCTCCGTCCTGCTCTTTGCAACCCAAGAATTTCCCTCCCCCGACGCTGTCCCCACCCGGCACAATTTCCAAATGCACCAGAGGCAGGCAGCAGGAGGAAGAAGCGGGCTCTGTGCTGCAACTGTTTGTCCCTTCTCTTGGGAAACGGCGGCGTGGGGGCAGCTGATCAAACACACGGCCCCATCCAGCACCCTGGGACGAGGACAAGCGTTGCCACAGCCAGCACGAGACCTCGGGCTGTGGGGAGCAGCCACCAAAGGCTGAGAGCATCCCCAACGCTGCTGCTGAGCCCCACAGCCCAGCGAAAGCTTTGGGAGCCCTGAGAGGAGCGAGGGAACGGGCAGGGAGCCACCAGCAGCCCGCAGAGGGGGCGCAGGCTTTTAGCAGCCTGCCACCGCCGGCGTTTCATTTATTTGTTCTTTGCTTTAATGCATCCATTTACTCCGGCACTGACACACGGTAATATCAGGCCAGTTTCTTCCTAACCGAGGACACGTTGGGCTGGGCTACGCCTCTTCGGAGAGGCTCGAAAAGGCAGGGAGCAGGGAAAATTAACACGGCGGCTCCACCGGGAGCGGGGCTCGCCATCCCCTGCCCCTCCTCAAACAAAAAGCCTCAGCCCCACCTCGCTCGTAATCCCACCTGCCACTAAAATCAATCAGGAAATTTTAAAAAGTCCTCTGGAAGTTTTGGAAAACATCCCCGCAGACCAAGCTGTTCTGACGCTCTCAGCCGTGGCAGCCCAACAGCTCCAGGTTTTTATTTTTTAATAATGCTCTTAGACGGTGGGATGGTTCATTCAATTCTGAGACACTTAAAGGGCTGGCAGCTCCGCAAATTAAACCTCTGGGCTGAAACAGAAGGTCACACCTGAACTGTTTGCAAAGCGTTGCCAGTGAAAAGAACAAAAGCAGAAGTGCGAAAAAAAAAAAAAGAGAGGAAAAAAAAAAACAGCGCAGAGCCTGAAACTGCCTTCGGCACAGGCAGAGCCACGGGGTCTTGGGGGAAAAAACAGTTTCATTAAGTCTCTGATAGAAACCAATCTGTATCTGGCTCCTGTCACGGCAGAAGCCGAAGGAAGAGGAGAAGAGGCAGCTTTCCAGAGAGCCAAGGTGAGGTTTTTGGCTGCTCGGGGCCACCAGCAGGGATATCGGTGCCCAAGAGCCAGCAGAGCAGCACCGCTGCCCTGCGCCTCACCCCAAAGGGTCCTGGGCTCCTGGGAATGCCCTGAGTTCCCCAAATCCCACCCCTGCAGGAAAACGAGAACATTTTATGGGGTGGGTCACCTCCAGTGGGCACAGAGCAGGCAGAGACCCGTGCGCACTTACCAGCACCGGGATGAGCAGGTCGGCCCCGTACACAAAAGCTGCTCCCAGAACAAAGCCCACGGCCACGGGGAGGAAGGCAAAAGCCCCAAAGGTGCCGGACTCCTCAGCCATCTCGATAGCCGGGGCCAGCAGGGACCAGTAGGAAGCGGCCAGCATGACCTAGGAGACAAAAGGCAAGAGGTGAGAGCCTGGGGACCGCGGCCACCAGGTGCCGAAATCCCCGCGCCCACGGGCGTGCTGCCTGCATGGCCTCTGCCACCCAGCGGGGCCACTCGCAGCAACTCCCCGACCAAAAGAGTCACTGAAGGATGGAAAAGCGATGGTTTTCCATCATTTTTTTGCACCAGGAGCATTTTTCTTGGCTCCAGCCCGAAGGAGCTGGCAGACCACACGAGCTCGGCGGGGTGAATTTCTATGGAGTGAGCGCAGCCGCAAGCGTCCTTCCGAAGGACAGCTGGAAAACCTCCCTCACCCTGTCTTGTTTTGTGTTTTTCCCTACTTGGTTGGGTTTTTTTTGGTTCTCCTCCCATCCTCAGCTGCAGGACTGGGTCTGTGATCCCCACCTGTTGGGGGTGAAGCAAATCCTCCCACCCCGTGCCCAGCTCCAGCCTCCTCCACGGAGCAGGAACACACGCAGGCTTCAGCTCATGAAGGAAATTAAAAAATAAATCAGGTGATGTGCAGAGCCAAAGAGCCATTTCCAAGTCAGATAAAGCCAGACCTGGGGCTTTGCCTGTGAAGATCTCAGCCTGCAGCAGCTCAGCTGCCAGCGTCCCCTGTCCCCCTACCCAAAATCAAGGCAACCACAGCAGAGGGGCGCTGCGAATCCTCTGCCCCTGCACAGCCCCGGGGCACATCCAGCGCCTGGGCACTGCATGCTGCGCTCACAGCAACCCTGCCAGACCTCCAGGGAGCCACAGAGAGCCTTGTGCATCCTTTACTGCTCAGCTGTAGCCAGGAGGGAGAAGGAAATACCCCAAAAAAACACAGGAGAAACAGGACATGGGATCTGTGGGGCTTTCCAAGCCAGCCCAGGACAGGTTTCAGTACAGCCGGGTGTCCCTGCAGCTGTGGGAGCTCACCGGGACCAGCTCCAGGACCAGTCCTAACATCAACGAGTTCCTATCCAAAAGCCAAAGCTTTGATCCGGAGGGAGGGCAGGGAAAGGAAAGAGAAGGAAGGGAAGAGCTGCAGGGCTGCAGGCACCATCCCACAGCCGCCTGCCCCGAGGGATGGACAAGGCGATGCTCAGCAAGTCGGGGGGAAGCTTTTGGGGTGCAGGAGGGTGTGAGATCAGCTCTGGGGGTGTGAGCCCACAGCTGGCAGAGGGAGGGGTGCTGAGGGAGGTTGCTTTCACCCCACGGTGCCTGCGGGAGAGGAGCGTAATGAACCTGCTCGCTTTAAATCGCTGTCAGAGGAGCCAGATGCCGACTGCTGGAGACACCGGTCCCCGAGGGGCTGCGTAACTCTCAGCTCGCTGTGAGTAAGAAGAAAGCAGGCTGTCAAGTTCAACTGAACCACAGCTGTCAAGCTCCATATTTCAGATGCCACCTCCTCTGAAAAAAACAAAAAACCACACGCCCCGGCGTGGAAACACGAACAACAGGGAGAATTATAGGATCTGCAGAATTACACCGTCACCTCACGTTAAGAGATCATTTCCCCACGGAAAGCAGAGACCTGGCACCAGCTCCCGTTGCCATTAAGTCAGCACCAAAGCCCCCACCAGCTCCGCTGCTCGCAGCCCCCAGAGGATGACACAGCTCCGGGTCCCCCCCCCGAGCCTCTCCAGCTGAAGGAGCAGACGTGCCCAGCAGCTTGGTTTGCTGGGGAAGGAGGAATTTATTCCTGCACACCTTGGTTTGGAAGGGAGCGTCCTGACCCCGCTGTTCTGGAGCTCCTGCCCCGTGGCAGAGCCAGCACGGTGACCCCCTGGTCCAGCAGCATCTCTCAGCATCCCTCAGCAGACGATGTTCCCGACGTACCCAGAGGGCTGGGATTCCTGCCAGCGAGCCGACCGAGTGACAGAACCACACTTTAATTACCAAGTCCTCATTTGTGCTGAGCTTTGCCACCACTCCTCACCCCGCTGTGGTTGTTCCGCACACGCTGGGAGGTCACAGGGCACCTACAGCCACCCCCGGGGATGGCAGTAAAAGGGTTTTGGTGCAAGGGACGTGCAAGTGAGCTCCATTTCCCCTTCCTTGCCTGCAGAAAAAGCCTGCCTGGGTCCTCCCCAGATCAATAAGACACTGAAGCCCTTCCAGCAGAGGACACGATCTCCTGCACCAAGCCTTCCCATTCACACGCTGCTGGCATCGCCCACGCTCTGCTCCCATCAGCTGGGAGCAGGGACCCGCAGAGCCCCGGCTGGCACGGGGCTGGGCTCCTCCTGCCAAATCCCATCCGGGAGGCTCAGCAAAGAGCCTCCGTGCTCCAGAGCCGAGATGCACCACACCGTAAATCCACCAGCTCTGGGAAAACAAACCGCGGCTGAGGACGGGGAGGAGGAGGCAGCTGGGGGTGGAAAGCATCCCTGGGCTGCAGGGAGCCCAAACCCTTCCCTGCCTCGATGCAGACAGGAATTAAAAGAGGTAGATGAGACCAGCAGGCTGCTCCCCCTGCCCAATTCCTCAGCTTGACTTCATTAAGCCTCCAACAACGAGAGGCGGCCTCGGCAGACCCCTGGAAATTACCGATGCTGTTTTAAGCGGCCCTGAAAAGGGAAGATTCGAGGCAGACTTGCGTGGCGCGGCGCGAGGAGCGTGTCTTTATGATTTTCTGCTTCACCTGGGACAGAGGAAAGAAATCAAAGCGTGACCCAATACAAGGACCAGCCGGGAGAGGCGGCAGGCAGGCTGCAGCCCCTGGATGTTGGAGGGGAGCACAGCACCCTCAGGACGACACGGAGCTAACGGGGAACAGTTTAAAAAAAAAAATATCTCATTTAAGAATATCGAGATTTAAGAGAAAAAACAACAGAATTGCACATCAGATGCCCAAGTAAAGGCTCGTCTCCATGGAAACGTCACCTCGGAGGCTCCCGCGTGCCAAACCCGCGACTTCCAGGGAGGGAACCCAGGCAGAGGGGGCTCGGGGCTCACACCCCCAGGGCAGAGTTAGGGGGGAAGGAGCCTGAGCGTCCCCTCCACCCGAGGCACCGTGCCACCAGCCGTGCCGGAGGGATTAAAGAAAAGAAGAAAAGTGCAGCTACACCCCAAATCGGGGCACTGCTGCAATTCCACCGTGGTTCCAAGTGGCTCACCCAGAGCTGTCGGCTCCCCAAATCCCCAGCACGCTGCACCACCCGCCTCGAGGTCGCTGGTGTCCCCGTCCCTGCCCTCCTCTTGGTGGTGCAGAAGTTTTTAGTTCAGTCGGGCGTTATCTTGCTGTGAAAGCTCCCAAAATACAAGCAGGGAATGGTTTCCAGCAGAAAATGGAATTACTGCGACCTGTTTTACACGTGAACCTGACCTAGGAGAGCATCACACACAGCCCTGGAACCAGGGGCTCGCGGGGACCCTGCGCTGAGCACCGACAGCGGAGAGACCGCGGGTCCCCGACACACCCGGAGGTTTGCTGGCTCCAGGATAAGTTTAAAGAAACTCCACAGGGCAGATTTCGGAGCTCACATCTCGCAGATAAAGAGGAGGTTCAGTTCTATGCCCCCTACCCCAGGGCTCGGAGCAGCAGCCTGCATTGATGTGTGAGAAACCCACATCAAAGAGACTTGAACAGAAATCCCTTACAGCAGGAGAAGCAGCCCCTGATCACAGCAGCTCCACCGGCTGAGGAAACGCTTTTTACGAGACAGAAAAGAGAGAAAACGGTACAAAGAGCTTCCAAAAGAGGCTGCTCCACATCCTGCCCCCCTCCACGCAGCACTCCGGGTGCCCGCAGCCCCCCGGCACCAGAGGGGCGCAGAATCGCACGGCTCCTGCTGCTCCCTGCCAGGATTTTGGAGTCCAGCACAGCCCCTCTGAGCTTTGCTCAGCTGGGGAAGGCTCCAGCTCCTCCACGGGGCTCTTTGCAAAGGCACCAAACACGCCAGAGGCAGGAAAACACTTGTTATTAAACCTTTCAGGCAAGGGCAAGCTGGAGACGCAGAGCGCAGCGGCACCGGGGGGCCGAGCGCAGCTTTTGGGACTCCAGTCCCTTATCAGCCAACAGGCAGAGTGCCACGGGCACATATGGAACAAATCTAGCAAAAAAAAATAAAAAGGAAGGCAATTCCTGCTGTTCCACCCTCCAGTGCCTTTGCCACGTCGCTGCTACCCCAGCACTCAGCCCCAGCCCTGTGCCACCTTCCTCTGCGAGGGTCCTGGCACCGAAGAGGGACCGGGGAGGTCCTGGTGGTGGTTTTCCCCTCCAGACACTGCAGCAATCCCCCAGAGCTCTCCCTTCCCTTCCCCAGCACAGCGAATACAAGGAAGGAAAGCAAATAAATGTTTGTAGGACAGCTGCTGCGCCGGGCGGGCCACACCTCTGCCACGTGGGGGTGAGTCAGGGTCCCCATGGGGCTGCAGGAAGGTGACAGCCCCACACCATGGTCCAGCACCCCACACCCATGGGGACAGCGGTGCCACAGCCTGGGCGAGGGGACAGAAGAAGCCCACAGCCCGTGGTGTGCTTGGCAGCACCTCTCTGACCCCGCAGAGGTGGCTCTGACCTGCTCGTGGGGACAAGGGTGCCTCTGGAAAACAGCTCGGAAGGGAAACTGTAAAGGTCCAGAATGGGAAACTCCTAAAACGAGCGATGGATTTCTCAGGGATGAGCTGAGGAGCTGCTGCAGCCTGACTGAATTATTTGTGTCTTCAGCAGGTCACAGCCAGGCTCCAGGAGATCAGTGTTGGGGTTTTGGTGTCTGGGAGCAGGCAGCGAGGAGCCCTGCAAGCACACAGCCCTGCTGCCGGCGGTTAGGGCTCTGCAGGATGGATTTTCCTGCTCCCAGACCAAGGGGCTCTCGGTCTCAGCCTGGAGTTTCCCCTGCTCCAGGTGCTGGTTGCAGAGCCAGGACCCTGCAGGATCTGGCAAAGCCCTTGGGGCCAGGGGCACCGGGAAGGTGCGGGTCAGGGGGAGATGCCAGATAAACCCCGGAGCCAAACCCATCCCGGGCAGCTCAGCACCCTGGTGGCCTCTCTCCACCTCCACCCTCGCCCACGAGAGGCTCCAAAATGTGACAGGACGTGGCCAGCCCCGTGCCCCCCTGCTGCCTCCAGCTCGTTTTGTTCCCACAAAATGAAAACCCAAGGAGGGACCCCAAGGGAGCACGGAGGAGCAGGAGGGGCGCCGAACTCACCCCCGCAGCAAAGCCCAGGCTCCCATCTAGGATCCGCCTCTGGAACGAGAAGGAAGGCAGAGAGCAGCGCTTAGTGAGGGCACGACGGGTGGGGGCACCCCAAAAATCGTGCTGGGATCCCATCGGGGGGGAAATTTCCCCTCTCCAGAGTCACCCGCAGGGTGTCCCAGCTGCCCCATAACCATCAGCCACCCCAAAACCACCCCTGCTCGCCCCAAAACACCCCCAAAGGGTGCTGAGACTCCCGGCCAGCTGCACCCCATGGCCCCACATCCCCCCCCCGGAGGATTTTGTCTCCGGGAGCCCCGCACGCAGCCCACCCAGCCTCACCCCTGTGGGTTTTGTGGGTTTTTTATTTCTTTTAGCGCATCGCCCTCCCCCCCCAGGAGGAAAAGCAGCGAGCTGCTGAATAAATCATCACAAGGCAGCCAGAAATAATAGACCCAGCGAGGCGGGGAGGGGGGGGGCTCAATTTTGAAACGGGAGAGGAGCTGAAGATCCCCAGCAGGGGGCTGACCTGGGGGGGTTCGATCTCCTCCTGCACGGGAGAGGAGCAGGATTCTTTCCTCCCCCTGCCCCTGGGGGGCAAAATCAAGCCACTGGGAGCCAAAATCAAGCCCCTGGGGGCCAAAATCAAGCCCCCCCAGGACCCAAAACCCACCTGCCCGCTGGAGAAGACGAAGACGAGCGCCGAGCCAGCCGCCTGTCAGCCCCCAGGTGAGGAGGGTCCCCAGCACCGACTGCAGCACCGGGCCCTGCCCCGGGAGCATGCTGAGCGCAGCGGGAGCCGCAGCCTAGAGGAGAGAAGGAGGCCCCGTCACGAGGAGATCATCACATTTGGGGCTTTTTCCCCTGAAATTTGGGGGATTTAGGGCCTGCCTCAGCAGCAGGAGGGGCCACAGGGCAGGTCCCCTAAACAGCCCCCCAAAGTCAAGGCTTCCTGGTCCCCCCCAAAAAAATCCTCCAACTCTCCAAGAGTCCCCAGACCCCCAAAATTGAGTCCCTCAGCTCCCCAAAACAGCCTCCCCCAGTACCCCAAGCCTAGCCCTACAGACCCCCCAACCAACTCCCCCAAAATCCAGGGCCTCCCAGCCGCTCCATACAACCCCCAGCCCCCAAACTGGGTCCCCCAGCCCCCAAACTGGGTCCCCCAAACCAAGGCCTCCCAGTCCCCCCAAACAGCCCCCAGATCCCCCAAAATTGGGTCCCCAAACCAGAACCTCCCAGGCCCCAAATTGGGTCTCCAGCCCCCCAAACAGCCCCACAGACCCCCCCCCAAACAGCCCCTAATCCCCAAATAGGGTCCCCAAAAGCCCCCCCCCAGCCCCCAGCCCCTCCAAATTGTGTCCCCCAGCCCCCAAATTGTGTCCCCAACCCAGAGCCACCCAGCCCCCCCCAAACAGCCCCTAACCCCCCAAATTGGATCCCCCTGTCCCCCAAACCCAGCCCCAACCCCCCCAAACGCCCCTCAGCCCCCCAAAATAGCCCCTAACCCCCCAAATTGGATCCCCCAGCCCCCCAAACAGCCCCCAGGCCCCAAATTGGGTCCCCCAGGCCCCCAAACCCGGCCCCAAACGGCCCCCAGGCCCACAAACAGACCCCCAGACACCCCCAAACAGCCCCTAAATCCCCAAATTGGGTTCCCCAGCCCCCAAACAGCCCCCAGACCCTAAATTGGGGCCCCCAGACCCCAATTTGGGGCCCCAAATGCCCCCCAGCCCCCCCAAAGAGCCCCTAAATGCCCCAAATTGGATCCCCCAGGCCCCCAAACAGCCTCCAGGCCCCAAACTGAGACCTCCAGGCCCCAAACTGAGACCCCCAGGCCCCAAATTGGGACCCCCAGGCCCCCAAACCCGACCCCAAATCCCCCCAAAACGCCCCCAGCCCCCCCCAAACAGGCCCCCAACCCCCCCAATGGAGTCTCCCAGGCCCCAACCCGGCCCCCAGCCCCCAAACCCCTCCCCTCAGCCCCCAGCTCCCCCTCCCCGCACCCCCGGGCCCGGAGCCCCCCCCTCAGCCCCGGGACCCCCCGGGCCCGGCCCCCCCCGCACCTGGTCCCGGCCGCCCCGGCCCCGCCGCCACTTCCGGGTGCGGCCACACGTGGCGCCGCCACCGCCCCGCCCACCCGGCGGTTTCAGCCAATGGGAGGGAAGCAAGGGGGCGGGCCGGCCCTGCGGCTCTGCGGTTCGGGTGGAGGCGGCGGGGAGGGAGCGGCGCGGGCGGGCGCGGCAAGAGAGAGAGGGGTGCCAAAATGAAAGGCACGAAACTAAAATTTAAAAATTAAAATTGATTAATTAATTAATTAATTAAAAAGCGTCTTTTCGTGTCCCAAGCACAGAGGTCCTCCCGTCCTGCTTGTTAATGACCCGCTTATTAACAGCCTGCATATTAATGAGCAGCCTATTAAAAGTCTGCTAATTAACATATTGCATATTAATTATCTGATTAGTAACATTCGTGATGGCTCGGTTATTAATATATTGCATATCAATGACCCAGCTATTAATAGGCTTCTTATTAATTGCCAGCTTATCATTATCTTGCTTATTAATATCATGCATATTAATTACATGCATATCAATTACATGCATATTAGCCGACTGTTCATCAATACTTTGCATATTAATGACCTGATCATTAACATTAATATTAATGAGCTACTCATTAATATTCTGTATGTCAATGAGCTATTTGTTAATATATCTCATATCAATGACCCAGTTGTTAATATTCTGCTCATTAATTATCAGCTTGTTGACATCCTGCTTAATAATGACCTGCTTGATAATGAATAATGAACGATTAACCTGCATATTAATTACTTTATTATTAACAGCCTGGTTATTAACGAGACACTTATCAACATCATACATATTAACGATCTGCTTATTAACATCGTGTGTATTAATGATCCGGTTATCAACATATTGCAGATCAATGACCCGGTTATTAGCAGCTTGCTTATTAATTACCAGCTCATTAACATCCTGCTCATTAACGACCCAATTAATGATGGGCCCGGAGCCACCTGGGGACACCAGGAGGTCCCTTCCCAAAGGGTGCCCCCCGGCAGCCCCCCATCCCGAGGGGTCCCTTGGGGAGGGTCCTGCCGGGCACCCCACTCATTGCGCATTACCGGAGACCCTAAAATTACCGGAGACCCTAAAACCATGTTTTATGGCAGCAAAAGGGGCGCCAACCCCACGCCAAACCCTCGGTGCCAATGGTGTGGATTTCATGCACCCAACCCTCCGAAAAGCCGCTCACAGCAGGGAGAGATGCTGGTGAGAGGAGAGATTTCGGCCCCTGGCTGCCAAAAGCTCGCTGGCAGCGGGGGTTTCTCATTTAGGATTCGCAACAAACGTCTGCAGCCCAGACCCGAGCCCCTCGGCGGGGATCGATAAAGTCATTACGGAGGCGAAAAATGGCAGGGGGAGAAGGGGAGAGGAGGAGGAGGGAGGCGAGGAGCCGGCTGCGAGGAGCTGGAGGCAGAGGAGGAGGAAGAGGAGGAAGGGCGAGGGCAGTGGGGCTGCACGGCACCGCTGCGCACCCTACAAACGGCCTCATTTTGGGTACGTTTGGGTCCCTCCACAGCACGGGACGTGCCAGCTGGGGAGGAAAAGGACGAGATTTGCACCCCCAGGGACCCGTTCAAAAAAAAAAAAAGGGTTTGGCAAGCTGCCCCAGCATTTTTGCCCTCGATTAATAAGAAAAATAAAAGAGACCCCCAGGAGGGCTCCGGGTAGGGGCGCGCCAACTGCTGGCACCGCTGCTGCCTCCCTGCCCGGGGGCTTGGCACAACCTCTGCCCCCCTGCCCCATGCCCCTGGGGGGGGGTCCCGCTGCCCTCTCCATGCGGATCGGGGCGAGAGGTCGCTTCGCCCTCTCCCTCTGTTGGCAACTCGATGCCTCTCCATGCGCATTTCCAGGCCAGGGGTTGAGAGCGCTGTGGGTTTTTTTTTTTTTACGGAACAGCTGGGAATGGGTGGCAGGAGGCTCGGAGGGGTTTTAAGAGGGTTTTTTTTTTTTTGCTTTGTGGTCTCGTAATCCCCGTGGCCCCGTCCCATGGCACTCGGGGTGGTGTGGGAAGGGGCCGTGCGTCTCTCCCCGCCGCTAAATGGCTTTTCAGCACCGTGGATGCTTCCCAAAATGAGGGACAAAGAGGAGTTGATCTGCCAGCACCCAACCAGCTGCTGGGCTAAGGCAGCGTCTCTCCAAAACGGGGACCACCCAGAGGGACGGCGCGGACCCTACACGAGGCTCAACCTCAACGCTAAATCGAGGCGGATTCGAAAAAAAAAAAGCCCTCCAGCAGCCCCCAGCACGGCTTCCTGATTCAGTTAGCCGCTGCCACACGCCTCGCTAGACAGATCCCAGCTCCGAGCAGCTCCTCGGTGCAGACTGGCCCTTCACTTCATTAGTCGGTGTGGTTTTTTGTTGTTTGTTTTGTCCTTTTTTTTTTTCTTAATGATCAGGTCTGGTTTTAGCCGAGGGAGCTGGGTGGATTAATTCATGCAACTGCCCGGCTCCTGCCTCCAGCGCCAGAGCAGAGGGGTCGGGAAGCAGAGAGGAGCCACGGGGACATGGGGTGAGGGTGCTGAGGCCGTGGCGCTTGGAGGAACCCCGAGGACAACCCCGCTTGGAGGCAACCCCAAAAAATCTGCCCCCTCGCTCAGCCCCAGCCCTCCCACCTGGGCACGGAGGGAAGGGCACGGACAGGACATCCCTCCTGGGCACACAGGAAAAAACAACCCTGAAAAGGTCACGAGGCGTCAAAGCCCTCTCCTGTGCCACGCCAGGGCTCTGCACTCCCTGCTCCTGGGTGCCGGGGAGCATCCCTGCACCTCTCCTGGGGAAGGGCACGGCTGGGGGCACACGGGGGCACTCATCAGGGGGCAACAAGGGGCTGGCAACCCCCAGGGAGCTGCCCTCGGTGACACACCGGGACCCCAAACCCCAAGGGGAGCACCCCACGGAGACCCCACCGCCCATCGCACCCGCCGGGCCGTCTCTCCACATCCTCCCTCCTTCCACACTTTCCCTGGGACATTAATTTCCACGTTATTTATTCTGGTGGAAGCTCTTTCCAGCTTCCGAAAGATTTATGAGGCCGATAATGATTCTTGCTCTCGCTCCAAGCCCCTGTGCCTTCGGATCCACCTCTGGAAGCGGGTGGCTAAGTGCAAACGAGACCCCCCCAGCCCCTCGCGCTGCAATCAGCAGCCTTGCTCCTGGCTCTTTGTTTTAAGTCACTCTTAATTTCCTGCTCTCTATTTTCCCTGTGATAAATGATGGAAAGATGCAGGGAGGGGGGGCAGGGGGAAAGGAATCGCTATTATTTAATTGCTTTCCAACCTCAAACAAACCAGAGCAGGGGTTATCTCACCCCGAGCTCTCTCGTTGGCCTTCCTCCTCCAGCCGTCGTTACTGGGTAACTGCAGCGGGGCAGGCTGTGGCAGCCACCACCTGCACTGCACGAGCCCCAGCTTCCATGCGGAGCCCCCAGAGCCGTGGCTGGTCCTCGCCCACCTCTCCCAGGCCAGCAGGGAGCTGCCTCCCCTCCCCTTTGGTCGCAAGGTGCAAAATCGTGGGGCAAAGACACTCCTGGCACACCAAGGGACACGGGGACTTCATGTACTTGGTGTGGCATGATTTCCAGTGAGGTGACAACGTGGCCATCACCCTGTCCCTCCCTCCCAGTGCCCCTGGAGGTGCTGAGCCCCCTGCACCAACATCAAGAACCGGCTCCTGGAGCAGACGCGGGGCACCGAGCTCGCCGGCTTTGGGCACCCTTCACCGTGCCAGCAGCGATCAGAGGAGCAAAACCCGGCACAGCCCGGCCGGGAGCTCTTCTGGGAGGGGGCTGCAGCACCCAGAGCCGTGGAAAGCTGCGGTGGCATCGCGGGGCTGCTAGGGCAGGGGGGGCGCAGCAGGGTGGGCAGCACCGGGCATCCTCGAGCATCACCGGGCAGCACCCGAGCAGCACCGGGTGGCACCGGGTAGCACCGGGAAGCACTGGGCACGGTGAGCAGCACCGGGTAGCACCGAGCATCCTCGAGCATCCCCGGGCAGCACCGGGCAGGGCTGTCCCCGCCCCGGCCCCACGGAGCCGCCCCACGCGGGGCGGGGCGCAGCCGGTGCGCTTGGGTCCGGCGGCGGAGCCGCACCGGGAAAGGCTGCGCGGAGCCGAGCGCTGCGGAGCGGAGCGGAGCCCAGCGGGGTGCGGAGCGCTGCGGAGGGGAGGGCGCTGCCGGTGCCTCCCCGGTGCCCCCCCGGGCCGGGGCAGGGCGGCGGAGGAGGAGGTGAGAGGAGAGGGGAGAGCCTCTGCGCCCCCTCCACCGGGTACCCCCTTGCACGGTACCGGGGAGGTGGTCGCCCCCCGGCTCAGCACCCCGAGGCTCAGCACCCCCCCGGGTGGCTGCAGAGGCAGGGAGCCGGCGGGCGATGCGCGGAGCCGCGGCTGGGAGCGGAGGGAGCGCGGTGCGGGGTTGGGGCTGCGGTTGGGACATCCGCGCACCCCCGAGCGCAGCCTCCCCGGGGGCTGCCGGGGCTCGGTTCCCCCTCCCCGGGTTGCGGTGGGGTTGGATCCTCCTCGGCTCCTGCCTAAGAGGAAGGGTTTTTATCCCCCCGTCGCCCCGCGTTGGGCAGCAGCTCCACGCCCCCGGGGCGCAGCAGCCGAATTTTAGGGGTCGGGAGGAGTCCGGAGCCGCTGGGGTGAGGAGGAGCCGCGGTGCGCCCCGGGCAGAGCCCTCGGTGCCGCACGGGTGCCGGGGGGGGGAGGAGAGGTGGGGGAGCCCGGCTGGGGAAAGCTCCTCCGGGGAGCATCTCTCCCCCAGAGCTCGGCAGCGGGATGGGCACATCCTCTCCAGGAATCCCTTCATTTGCACTTCTTCCCTCCTTTCTAGAATCTTCTCCTTAATCCCCAAAGGGAAGGGGAGATGACATCTGGGCTCCTCTGAAGCCACCCGTGCCCGGCGGAGCCATGGAGCTGGAATTCGAGCTGCCCAACGCCACCGCCTTCTGGTTCTCCCCGGCCTCCCCGTTCGACAACTTCTCGGTGGAGGCGCCCACCAACGCCTCGCAGAACGCCACCGGCCAGCACTTCGACCTGACCAGCAACGCCATCCTCACCTTCATCTACTTCGTGGTCTGCATCGTCGGGCTGTGCGGCAACACGCTGGTGATCTACGTCATCCTCCGCTACGCCAAGATGAAGACCATCACCAACATCTACATCCTCAACCTGGCCATCGCCGACGAGCTCTTCATGCTGGGGTTGCCCTTCCTGGCCATGCAGGTGGCCCTGGTGCACTGGCCCTTTGGCAAAGCCATCTGCAGGGTGGTCATGACGGTGGACGGGATCAACCAGTTCACCAGTATCTTCTGCCTGACGGTGATGAGTGTTGACCGGTACCTGGCCGTTGTCCATCCCATTAAATCGGCCAAGTGGAGGCGGCCCAGGACAGCCAAAATGATCAACGTGGCCGTCTGGGGTGTCTCCCTGCTGGTGATCATGCCCATCATGATTTATGCCGGGGTGCAGCACAACCACGGCAGGAGTAGCTGCACCATCATCTGGCCGGGGGAGTCGGGCGCCTGGTACACGGGCTTCATCATCTACGCCTTCATCCTGGGCTTCCTGGTGCCTCTCACCATCATCTGCCTTTGCTACTTGTTCATCATTATCAAAGTCAAGTCCTCGGGCATCAGAGTGGGCTCCTCCAAGAGGAAAAAGTCCGAGAAGAAAGTCACCAGGATGGTCTCCATCGTGGTGGCTGTCTTCATCTTCTGCTGGCTCCCCTTCTACATCTTCAACGTCTCCTCCGTCTCCGTCCTCATCGTGCCCACGCCCGTCCTCAAGGGCATGTTTCGACTTCGTCGTGGTCCTCAGCTATGCCAACAGCTGCGCCAACCCCATCCTTTACGCCTTCCTCTCCGACAACTTCAAGAAGAGCTTTCAGAACGTCCTCTGCCTGGTGAAGGTCAGCGGCATGGACGACGCCGACCGCAGCGACAGCAAGCAGGACAAGTCCAGGCTCAACGAGACCACAGAAACCCAAAGGACCCTGCTCAACGGTGACCTGCAGACGAGCATCTGAGGGGCCGGCGGCGTTGTCCTCTGCTCGCTCTCCTCTCCCCACTTGCTCCCAGCTGCAGCAGGGCAGCGGCACGCAGGGAGTCAGGGGGTGGCAGCGCGCACGCTGGGGGGCCGGGTGTCCTCCCGAGCTGCTGGCGGGCTGGCTCGTCGGCGCTGGGAAGGATTCGGTTCTGAGGAGCTGCCTCGCCCAAAGACAACTCGCAGAAATCCCCACGGGGCAGCGCGTATTTCAACACCAAAGTGCCACCGTGGGGCCGCAGCCATCGCAGGGGTGGCTCCGCCGGCTCCTCCTCTGGCGTGACCCTCGGGGTTGAAGCCACCTCTGGGTGCTGTGCCCCGGGATGGGTGCTTGCACATGGACACACACCCTGCAGCCTGCCCGGGCTGAGCCCTGCATGCACGGTTTGGGTGACCCGAGGAGGTGCCACCGCGTGGATGCGCCGAGACCCGGCGGGAGCTCCGTGGGCGTGCTGCGCTCCTGCAGTCCCCGAGGAGAGGAGGATGTTTGGGGTTGTACTTTGCCCGGCTTATCACTCACTCAGCCGCGTCCCCCGAAGCCTCCCTGCTGCTGTTTGACTGCGTCTTTTGTAGAAGGGGTCCTGCAGGACGGAGGCAGCCGCCCCGAGGGATGCAGCTGCCCTGTGCCCCCCGCTGCAGGACAGCCCCTGCCCTCCTCCCTGCCGTGACGTCACCTTCCCGCAGGTTTTCTCCTGGGATGGAGGATTTCCCCTTTTTTCCCTCGTTTCACCCTGGAGCCGTTCGCATCAGGCTCTGGCTGCGCCGCCAGCCCGAAACCACCGCTGTCCCCGGTGCGCCCTGGGCAGGGTGGCTGGGTAGGAAATCCTCGGTGAAGCACCGGAGGGGGTTGGAGAGCCCTGCTGCAGGCTGCTGTTCGTCCCCGTCCCGCTGCTGATGGCTTCTGGGGTTTGTCCTGCTGCTGCCGTGGCTCCGGGAGCTGGGGACACCTGCCCCTGCTCCTCCCAGGCACATCAGGAAGGAGGAGGAGGTGATGGAGAACGATGGAGAAGACAGGCGACAGGTCAGGGGGCGCTGGGGACTCAACCCAAACCTTCAGCCGAGCCGAAGGGAGCGGCAGAGCAGGTGACACGGAGCTGAAGGAGAAAGCCCTGGAGGAGAGCCCCCAGCCTGTCCCCCCCCTATGGGATGGCTGCTCCTGTCCCCGTGCCCCAGGGGTGACAGAAAGGACCCACGTCGCTGCCGGGTGCACGTCCTGCAGGTAACTGCACGGGGAGGGGGACAGCAGCTCCCCAGGGGGGGCTTCCAGCACAAAGCCCTGGGGAGGAGCAGGGCGCAGGGTGAGGGGGTGGCAGGGTCTGGGCTGGGTGCTCGGGGCAGAAGCCAGCCCCAGCCCACCACCACCACGTGTCCCCCCGCAGCAGGGGGACCCTGGGGTCCGAAAGGCTCCGCTCAGGCACCAAAGCAGCAATTAGAGCCCAGCGCCTGCTGAGTTCAGCTGCTCAGGAATGTCCCGGAGCAGCCGCTCTGCCCCTGCCCACGCCTGGGGTCAGCACACAAACCCTGCAGAGCCCGAGCAGGAGGGAAGGCGCTGGGATAACCTCAGCACCTGGGAACGCAGCCGTTTAGGAGGAAGGAACCGTCCAGTCCCACACCCTCTCCCCTGCCCGTGGGATCCACGAGCCCCTGCCTTGTGCTACAGACGAGAAGGGCAGGGGGACAGGGGGCAAGGAGGAGCATTCCCACCAGGTGCCGCCTGTTTTGGGGTGCCACCTTGCTCGGTGCACACCCTCAGGCCATGCTCCAGGAGTGCCAGCTCCAAATTTTCCTCTTTCTTTCCCCCTGCAGTGAGTCCCCCCCCATGGAGCATCACCCCCATCCTACAGGGCCACCCCACCGCCTGTCAGCAGCCCCCCAAAACCCCCCGGGAGCTCCGTGCTCTGCAGGGCACAAAGCAGCGCCTCGTCAGCATTTATTTGCTCCTAACCCTTCACCTCCTGCTCCGAGGGACACGCAGAGGCTCTGCGTGGGCTCGGCGCTGAGCTGGGCTGCTGGCAGCCGCTCCCATCCCTGCCACAGCTCCCTTAGGGCGTGTGGAAAGCCACAGCGAGAGCCAGGCTGCCCCTATGGGATTAAAACCAGCAGCATGACATCAGAAAATACGGGATTGGGATCGCCGGGGCTGGGCGCAGCCGCTGTCAGGATGAGGCTTTAGTGGCAGAGCATCGTCTGCTGGGCTGCGGGTGGCTGGTGGGGGATGAAGGGGTTGGGGGTGGAAGGAGCAGGACAGGAGGCAGGGAGGGATTGGGGTTAAAGCCCCTGGTGCTCGCAGCCCCCGGCACACGCCTGCAGCGCTGCTGGCAGCACCCCGGTCCTGCCCGTGCGGCCCCTGCCAGCAGCACCACGACCCACGGTGGGGCTCCAGTCCAGCAGGAGCCTCCAGAAGGAGCCCCCCAGCTCCTCTGTGGGCTGCAAGTACAGAAAGCATGGATTTCTAGCACAGGAGGGTCCTCAAGAGCCTGGGAAAGGATGGGTGTCCCCAGGTGAGACGTGGAGAGGATGCTTTGTGCCCAGGGCAGCTCTGCCCTGGCGCACACCCACCCCAGCAACACCTTGGAGCTGTGGAAATGGGGCTTGAGCTGCTGCTTGTGCTCAAATCTGCCCTGCACGAGGGGGCTGGGAGCTGAAATACCCCAGTTCCCTCCTTGGCACCCACGGGACCTCGTGGGATGGGGGTAACGGGGCAGCAGGCGAGGAGCAAGGGACACAGGGCACTGCCGTGGGCTCCCCAGAGGTCACCCCAGCTGGGCTGCGTGGGGCAGAGCACGAGGAACCTCCCGGGCACTGCTGGGGCCCCAGGGCTCGAGCAGGGGAAAACACAAAGCAAAACAAGCCCGTGTTGGCAGGGAGAGCAGGAGAGGGAGCCGCAGGCGCTGCCCAGCACTCGCAGTAAAAGCAGGTGAATAAAAGCTGCTGCCGGGTCCTCAGCGGCTAATCACCAGCGGCACCGCTATCGAAGTTTTCCTTCTCAGCCACTTGAATTTAGTGGGGACTTGACCTCGTATCGGATCTGTTCAGAACAGCCTCGCAGGGCTGCCAGCGGCGTGGTGAGAGATCTCTGCTGGTTCGTTTCAGGGCGGAGAGGTTGCTCCTGTGAGTGCTGGAGCAGCCCCGCTGCCCCTTCACGTGCAGGCTGCCCCCAGGCAAGCGAGATTAATTATGGCTCTGAGCTTTATCCCAGACTGGAGGCGATGGGAAGCAGAGTCCCTGTGTCCTGTGGTGTCTCTGTGTGTCCTAGTGTCCCGTAGTGCACCCAGGGGACCAAAATCTCGGTGCTGTGGCTGTGCCCAGCATCGCCCAGGGCGCTTACTGGGACAGATCCCGGCTCCTTGCACCACGATGGGCAGTTCTCCCCGCTGCTTTCCAGCCAGCTCCTGCTCCGACAGGCAGGGAGAGGCTGCCTGCAGACCTGCAGCCTGCCTTTGGCATCGCTACAGCTCCTGACACCAGCACCAAAGCTGCCCTGGACTTCTTTGCTGGGAACACCGACAGCATTCGCTCCCCAAACTTGTGCCAGAAGGACGCGGGGTTCAACGCAAGAGGCCGGCCGCAGCCCCCGGGGCTGTGGGAGGGGGGCACTGGGGGGGTCCTGCAGTGCTTATGGCCCCTGCACAGGCCTGAGACACAGCTTGTGCTTTGCTCCCGAGGTCGTTTGAGCTCTCGCTGTGAACAAGCTGACTCCAAACTGCTCAGGGGGAGCCTGCATCCTGCTCCCCGACCCCAATCCCTGCCCCAGGCTGCGCACAGGGAGATCACCGGCAAGGCTACAGCAAAGGGGCACTGCAGACCCCAACCATGACCCCCCCCCCCAGCCCTAGGTCTGAAAAGCAAGCTGCTGCTCGTGGCCCTGAGACATCTCTGCCCTTCTCTGCCTGCCTGCGGTCCCCAGCTCGTGCCTCCTGCTGGATTTCCCCCTGCTGGCTCCAGGACTGCAAAAAGGACTGAGCAGGAGAGGACACGGCTGGGATCAGGGGAACCTGCTCGGTCTGACCACGAGGGACACAAAGCCTGGACACCCAGCCCACGGGAGGGAAGGGACAGGTGACTGTACATATGTGTATATAGCAGACACGCCAGCAGAGCGTTTTGGTATCACTGTTCACCCCCGTTCTGCTGTGTGTGCCACCACCAGCACCCAGCAGAGAGTCCGACCGAGCCCTTTGGGGTTCCCTGGCTCCTCGGTGGGCTTCCTTCAGCCTGCACCAAGCAGAAGGGCCCGTGGAAGCTGCTGCCGTGCTGAGAGGCGACACCAGCAAGGAAAAGAGCTTCACCCCTTGCTAAATTTGGGGCCTTTCCCTGCCAAGCTGGGGCTCCAGCGACGGGGAGCATCCCCCCGCAGCGCCGTGCTGCCCACGTCGTGTACATAACCCCCTTCCCCCGTACCTATATCTGTGCTCTGTGTGGTGTGCGTGGGTCTGGTGTAAGACATTGCGACTGGAACATGATGGAGAGCGGGGCTGCTTTGAGCCTTTTTCTTCCCAGCAATGTGCTCAGAGCCTGAGCCTTCGCGCTGCCAGTCTCACGGGGAAGGAGACGCTGAGGGGGGTGGGAGGGAAGTAAAGGTTTTCCTACGGTTTCTGAATTTCTGTGCGTGTGTCAGAGGTGGGTGGGAGCCGTGTAGGTATAGGGGGGCTTGAAATCCTCCCTGGAGGACGAAAGGCACCAAACCTGGAGCCTCACCAAGGGACCGTGCGCCCGCAGACCCCACCAGCTGCCCCCCACACCCGTTGTGCTCCAACACCCCCAGCAGGAGAGCTGGGTTTGCCCCAAAAATCTCAGGATCACTCCAGGTCAGCGCAAACTCAGAGCACCTGAGGTGCAGACGCGTCTGTGCCAGCACCAACCACTAAACCCGACGGGTCACAGGCAGAGAGTGAGGACAAAGAGCTGCGAGGGCAGCGGGTGGCAGCAACTCGCTGGGAACAGCTGAAAGCCAAAAACTGGTCTGCGAGGTGGCAGCAGCCCCCGTGCTGCTTCTGGAGAGATCAGAGAGCAAATCGCCACCGCCAGAGAGTTAATCTGCTGGAGCAAACAGCACCGGGAGGGGGTGCGAGCGCATTAGCGGGTGTGCTTGGAGACAAGGTGTATTACCAGGGAAACACAGGGCCTTTACTGCAGACCTATAGAAATCGGCTCCACGATAAACTGTGGAAGTCCAGATCGCTGCAGCCAGCAGCACAGACCAGCTCTGCTATCAACATTTATCACCAAAAAAAAAAAAAAAAAAAAAAAAAAATCAAAACAACCATGATTTACGCACGCACACCATTTGCAACACAAACGCTGTTTCACAAGATTTGGGTAAAAAAAATAAATAAGCAAAATTATCAGCACCAACAGCATCTGTGCCAAGACCACGCGCTCTCATTCCAGGACACGGGCAGCACCCGTGCAGCTGGGGTTAGGGTTAGGGTTTCCTGGGGACCCTAGGGTTAGGGTTAGGGCTTCTGACGAGCCCGGTGTGGGCAAGCAGCACCGTGCCGCTGCCCTGCCCCTCAAGATCTGTTTCCTGCAGGTGGCTGGGGCAGGATTTTCCTCCACAAATGAGGATTTCTAAGCAAGCTGTTGCTGTGCCTCCCGCATTAGAGCTGACTGAGTCAGTGTCAGGCGCCAAATGTTGGCTGCGGGGAGTTTTTCTGGTCAGATTTATGTATAACTATAGATACGCAGGCAGGACGTGCTCAGAGACGTATCTAGGTTACCGTCAGAAAACATTAAATCTTCACGAGAGTGCTGGTACGAGAAAGCCACCAACTGCCCTGGGAAGATTTCGCAAACCCAAAAATAAAAAATTAAAGCGTGCGCTGATTTCGTTCTGCCTCCACAGGCTGGAGACGTGAGATGATACCAAGCGCACGTGCTTCAGCTCGCAGCTACGTGAAGAAGAGAGGCAGGGGGAGGAAAAAAAGGGGAAAAAAAAAAGAAGGAAAAAAAGGGAAAAAAAAAAATCTGATCAGAGGGGGCCTTTGTGCTTCCGAGTGGTACGTGGCAGGTGTGCCACCTCCTCACACACACACACACAGTTTGACACAGCGTGATTTTGCCAGACCTGTAAGCGACGCTTATTAAAACGCAAACACATTTATTTATTAAAACACACGTTTATTTATTAAAAACGCTTTTATTTGAAAGCCCGGTGCGCCGAGCAGGGCCTCAGACCCCCCCCCCCAGCAGACAGCTCTGCTCTCACAGCTGCTCGGGAGGGGCCCCGGAGCTCAACCCGGGCCGTGCCGTGCCGCGGGCTCCACCTAGCGCTGCTCGGGAACCCCGAGCTCGGGGCTGGCGCCGGGACCGAGCCCGGTTCCCGGGAGAGCCCCGGAGCTCTGCGGGGCCGCCCCGGGCCGGGGCGCGGCCTGCCCGTGAGTCCCCCTCAGGGCGGCGGGGCCAGGCCCGTAGCGCACCCCCGGGCTGAGCGAACCGACCCCAGCCCCGAGTTCTGGCTTTGCAGAGCAGGACTGACACCCGCAGGCCGCGGAGGCGAGCTGGTTTGGTGCGAAAACCGGAAAAAACGGGCAAAACGCTGCGGTTCTACACCCCCCCCTCCCCCCAAACAGGGCCAGGCCGCGTTGCCATGGCGACCGGTGCCCTGCACAAACATGGCGGCGGCCGCTGACGGAAGCGGGCCCTGCCCGGCTCCAAGATGGCGGCCGTGGCGTCACTGCCGCCGGGAAGGAGGGGGGGGGAACCCGGTAATGGCGGCCATGGCGGCGCGGGCGGCGGAGGCCGAGGCCTTGTTCGAGGCCCACACAGCGGCCGAGCTGCGGGCGGCGGAGCGGCGGCTGAGGGCCGGCATCGAGCAGAAGCGGGAGGAGCTGCGGCAGATGGTGGGCGAGCGCTACCGGGACCTCATCGAGGCGGCCGACACCATCGCCGAGATGCGGCTGAACGCCGAACGCCTGCTGGGGGCCGTCAGGGGGCTGCAGAGGGGAGGCGCCGCAAGGCCCGGGCCCGCTCCGCCGGTGAGGGCAAAGAGGGGGGGGGGGACCATGAGGGAGCCGGGTCCGGACCCCCCCCAGCCCCGATGTCCTCCCAGGCCCCCCCGTCCTCCTCCCGCTTCTCCCCAGTCTCCCAAAGCCCCCCTCAGCCCCTCTGTCCTCTCCCCCCTGCCCAGCCCTCTCCATTCTGCCCCCCCCCAACCCCCGTTGCTCCCCCAGGTCCCATCCTCCTCCTCCCCAGCTCCCCACCCTTTCCCCTGTCCTCCCCTCAGCCCCCCCAGTGCTCCCAACCCCCCCGGCCTCCCCCCAATCCCTCCCAGCCCCCCTCCAGAACCCCCCAACCCACCCAGTCCTCCCCATCCTCTACCTCCCCAGACCCCCAGTTCTCTCCCCCCACAGCCCCCACTTCGCCCCCTCAGTTCTCTCTCCTCCCCCAGCCCCCCCAATCCTCCTCCCCCAGCCCCCCATCAGCCCCCAGGTCCCATCCTCCCCCTCTCCAGCCCCATCCTTCCCCCAGTCCCCCTCCAGCCTCTCCCCCATCAGCTTCCCCCCTCCTCAGCCTCCCCCAGTCCTCCCTGCCCAGCCCCCTCATCCTCAGCCCCCCAGACCCCCATCACCCCCCCCAGGTCCAATTCTACCCCCTCGTCAGCCCCTCCAGCCTCTCCCCCATCAGCCTACCCCCTCCCCAGCTCCTCTCCCCCCATCCCTCCCCATCCTCACCCCCTTTTTTCTCCCCCTCCCCAGGCTCCACCACGGCTACCGGAGAAGCTGTACCGGGCAGCGGCGCAGCTGAAGCTGCTGCTGGACATCCCCGAGCGGGCTTGGGGCGCCATGGAGGCCGGCCGCTACCTGCCCGCCACCCGCCTCTACCTCCTGTGCCGCCACCTCCACGGATTGCTGCAGCTCGACGCCCCCCGCGCCCGCTACAGCCCCATCCTCGCCCGTTTCCCCATCCTCCTGCGCCAGGTGGCCGCCGCCAGCCACTTCAGGTGGGCAGTGCCTCGGGAAGGGTCCCCCCCCACACCTTGGTGGGGTGCAGGAGGTGCTCCCCGGCTGTCAGCACCCTTGGCGCAAAGCCTGGAAGGTTTTTCGCTTGCTTTCTGCCAAGCAGGAGCTTCTCAGCTGGCTGTGGAGCAGCCGGAGAGCTCTGCTCTGAAAAACAAGCAATCACAGAAAAGCAATCACAAAAAATCACAAATTATGGGTTTGTGGTGGGTTGCGGAGGGGCTGCGGGTGTTTGCTATGAGCAACGCGTGCTCCTCCTGCTCAGGTTCACTTAACCAAGCCCAAATGCATCCATCAAACACCAAACCTCCTCCCTGCAGCCCGTGCTGACTGCCTGCCTCCTCTCCTTGCCAGATCCACCATCCTGCAGGAGAGCAAGTCCCTGCTGAGGTGTCAGAGCGTGTCGGACCAGGCGGTGGCAGAAGCCCTGTGTGCCATCATGCTGCTGGAGGACAGCTCTCCCCGCCAGGCCCTCGCGGATTTCCTGCTGGCCAGGAAGCTGGCGATCCAGCAGCTCCTCAACCAGCCGCACCACGGTCGGTACAAGGGGGCTGCCTCCTTTTTGAAGTCAAAAAGGGAACTCCCTCTTTCTCTATAACCCAAACAGAAGAGTGGGTGGCTTAGTTTTGTAGAGCTCACGATGCTGGGGACGTGCATTTTGCCACGGTGCTGAACTAACAGCACTCAGGACCTCCAGTCAAGCTTTTAACCAAGTCAGTTTTACAGTCAATTTTTAACCAAGAAGCAGGGGCTGAGCCCTGTGCCCTCCAGCCCATCCCTGGAAGGTTTCACCAGACCCACAGGCCTTGAAGCACAGGGCTGGTCACTTGTGTTAAGGTGTTACCTCTATTAAAAGACTTTTTATTTTTTTATTTGCAGGTGCAGGAATAAAAGCTCAGGTGTGCTCACTGATGGAGCTGCTAACCACCACTCTGTACCAGGCTTATGCCCTCTTCTACATGATGCCAGAAGGGATGCCCCCAGACCCAGCCCTGCCCTGTGGCTTGCTCTTCTCCACCCTGGAGAGCACCACAGGGCCAGCACCCAGCAGGTGAGCACCCGGCCAGCTCAGTTTGCAGGCAGGAAGCCCCCCCGTGCTGGGCTGACTCCCCCATCCCGTGTGTTTCCAGGGAAAGGCGGGGTCCTGGAGGACGAGGTGAAGCTGAGCAGCTGGTTCAGGTACCTCCCAGAGTCCGTGGTGGAGTTCCAGCCAACCCTGCGGACCCTGGCCCACCCCATCAGCCAGGAATACCTCAGGGACACGCTGCAGCAGTGGATTGCCATGTGAGTGTGACACCGTCCCCCCCGCACAGGGCTCTCCCAGACACCACAAGGTCTCTTTGTCAAGGCAGCAGCACAAAGCAAAGCCCGGATAACCCACAAAGCAAAACCACCTCCTGCCAGGCCGCACCTTCTGCTGGCTCCTCGCTCAGTGTTCCCTCTCCTTTACAATTAAGAACCCCAAAGCAGCACAGCACAGTCCTAATAACCAGGCTGTGGCACCCAGATGCAGTAAGCCACGCAGGCTAACTCAGGGCTGCACAGCAATATTTGTCTTGAGCTACTTTACACTGCCACAACCACCAGCAAAACAAACATCAAGAGTAAACGAGCAGGAAATCCCTCACCTGCCTCTGTTGGCTCTTGCTCCAGCACCTCCTTCCTTCTTGCTGCCCTTGCCCAGACTGCCTGGGTGCCCCCAGGCCCCCTTTATGGGGTTCTCAGCTCCCCCCTGAGGATGCAGACAGCCCGTGCAGCCCCTCAGCAGCCTCGTTACTCATCCATTGCAATCAGTCCCACCTCGTTATCCCGTGCAGCTGCTGCTGGGCTGGCCAGCTGGCCCCTGCCATCAGCTGCAGCCCCCCACGGGGAGCACGCTGGCCACGGGATATTTCTCCAGCAACCAGAGGCTGGCAGTGGGGGTCAGTTAGCATGGCCGGGGTGTTCCTGGGGTGCTCCTGGCTTTGACACCCACTGCAGCCCTGGATTCCCAACGCAGGGCACGTGGTTTCCCTGCTGGGATCCAGGGTGCAGCTGCCTTGCTGAGAATTAGAAATCCCCTCAGCCCTGCAAGTGCTTCTGCAGGCCGAGCCTCTTGCTGACAGATCAAGAATTCCCCCACCTCGATGATTTTTTCCTGGGTTCTGTGGGGCTGCGCCCGAGCAAATCTGAAGCTCAGCGTTGCCTGCAGGTGCAGTGATGATATCAGGGCCGGGGTCAGCAGCCTGCTGGTCTACGTGAAGAGCTTGAAGGGCCTCGCGGGGATCCGCGATGCGGTGTGGGAGCTGCTCACGAG